AAAGTGGGCAAAACTCAGCGGACAATACTCAACAATGTTAGCGGCAGTTTCCGTAGCGGTCAGATTACGGCCCTAATGGGCCCGTCCGGCGCCGGCAAGTCATCGCTACTCGGCTGCATATGTGGCCTCAAAAGGACCGGAGTGTCCGGTGCTATCACTATATCCACCAAACGAAAGGTATAAACCATTTTAATTAAATAGAAGTACTATTTCTATCAGGGTTTATTTACCTAGTGTTTAATATGTTATAAAAATCATATAAAATCATAATATAAGTGATATTTTTAGGTAAAGTTTGCGTTCATAGCTCAGGATAACTACCTGATGGAAAGGTTGTCAATCATGGAGTCACTGGTATACGCCTCGAAATTGAAAAATAAAGTGATGGCCGATCACCAGATGATCGCCCGAAGTGTGCTCAAGAAGTTGATGATTGAAAAGTGCGGTCACATCCGGCCCTCCCGGTGCTCAGGCGGGCAACAGAAGCGCATATCGATAGCACTGGAACTGGTCTCCAGACCAAACATATTGATACTGGACGAGCCGACCAGTGGCCTGGACTCAGTCACCACTTGGCAATTGGTCCAGTTGTTGATAGAGCTAACCCAACAGCCGGAACCCATGGCCATTGCCATCACAATACACCAGCCGAGCGCCAAACTCTTCAACCTATTCAACACAATATACCTGTTGTCATGTGAGGGACAGTGTATTTACAACGGATCGCCGCAAAAGATGTTGGATGTGTTCGCCGACCTGCTGGAGCTGACAGGCGGTAAATTGTTGGGGAGTCTGAAACGAGACCTTCACCGCCGGTTACTCGTGCCTAACCGGTTTTAATACTACAATAGGTGACAATTGTTTTATCTACGGGAGCTGTACCTTGAGGACGACTACCAGATCAGGATTAGAGCCAATCGCCACACATGGAGACCAATATTCCTGTTGACAATCAGGTATTGGGTTTGAAAGTTATGACAAGTAATCAATTCATTGTTTTTCTATGGGATTTATAGATCATTTGAGACAACTATGAGAGACCCGTATATGTTGGGCATAAAGTTGTCGGGATATATGATGTGCTCAGCGCTCATAAGCCTGATGTACGGCTCGGACAGCGGTATACTGTCGTCGTGTGCGTCAGACTTTAGTATAGGCGATGGGAAGGACTTATTCAAAAAGTTTGCCGATATAATGGCCGATCTCATAGAGAACTGCTCCGGTATACTATTCGTATGTATATTCGGATGGTTAATGTCTATATTTCCCGTTTTACTGGTCTTTCCCTCAGAGATGAATGTCTTTCTCAAAGTATTTTCAAATTTTGTCCTAAAATTTTATGTTAAATATTTAATTATTATTAATTCTATGAACAACAGGAATACGGGAACGGCTACTATACGCCATTCGCGTACTACATGTCCAAAGTGTTAAGTGACATACCTTTCCAACTATCAATACCCGTGTACTACTGGACCGGACAGTATTCAGAGCAGGCGTGGCGTATATACGGTTTTGCCGGTATTTTCATATTGATCTCAATGAACGCCAGCGCTCAGGGCTTTCTCATCAGCGCTATTGTACCCGAAAATCCATTGGCGGCCGCTTTAATAGGTTTACTTAGCATTATACCCATGGCACTTTTATCAGGTCATTTTATAATAGTTACTGTTATTTATAAATTATAATTTATTAAAATGATAATTTTTAGGTAAGTTTTTAAAACAAATGATGCATTAGTTAGTGATGCAACAGCTGATAGTAGTACCTATGTTACTAACATTTGCATTACACATACTTTTGTATTCATTTTTAAAATTACACGAATTAAAGTTACATAAAAACGTTTACATTGGCTCTTAAAAACATTTACCAACACATATTGTTTACCAACAATTAACCTTAATTAATTAAATTATAACAAACAGGTTTAATGATACCATTGGAAAGGATGCCGTTTTACTTCCGGAGCTTTTCTTACGTAAACTTTCTCCGATACTCATCGGAAGTGACACTCATTAACATATATGGGTTCGGGAGGTGTGGACAGGGATTGGCCGATATGAACGACACAACCGCTGCACTCATGGACGCCATTCCCACTGAGAAGATGCTGGAGATATACTCATCCGATAAGATCAATGTCGACGCACTCATGAAGACTATGGACAATGTGATGGACGGATTCACCGGCGAAGACCATTCTGTAATATTAAAGCACTTTAAACTAGATGATTATGATTATTACACCGGCATAGCTATGCTTATTGTCATAACATTAGGCTTCAGGGCTTTAACATATTATTTTATTTTACGTAAAATAAAGTCAAAAACTTAAGATTAATTTCATGTTTAACTATAATTCATGTAATAAATTTAGCTTAATTTTATAATTGTTTGTCATTTATTGTTTTAATGACGTTAAAGAAATTGTACTTTTAATATATAAATAAATATAGATATTTGTGACAACATTCATGATCTATTTTAAAATTTAATGATTTTTATATTACGCTAAAAAAATAATAACATTTATTTTGCATTGTTTTGATATTACAATGATAGAACATGGTAAACATAAATTACCATTAATGAAAAAATTATAATTAGTTTTACAATTCGTTGTAAATAATGAAATGTTTCATGAAGTTTATTTTGAATATAATTTTATATGCTTTTAATTTATGATACAATGATTTCTACTGTATTTGAACGGATCAATAATTATGAATTATATAATGTTAATGAAAAATGCCATATTATTTGCATTAAATGAATTATATAAATATACTTAAAACTTCAAATATTTAAACAATAATTCAAATAATAATTTTTACATTTACATATATTTAAATAATGCATATTTTTAAATTTTATTTTAATATTCTCTAAAACTATTGATGCATAAAGTGGTTATATTATAATATAATACATTATCTAATAGTGCTTATAATGTCCAATAAATTGTTTGTTGAGACAAAAAACAGCTCTTCCATCAAATCCATTACTAATAATGGGGATCCCTTTCGAGTCCAGTGGCGGAACCTGACCTACACTGCGACCCAACACTCGGGCGTTAAAAAAGTAATTCTCAATGAAGTGAACGGCCATTTCATGAGCGGTCAGATTACCGGTATTATGGGTCCGTCCGGTTGCGGCAAATCTACATTATTGGGCTGTATTGCCGGCATTAACACCAAGGGCCTTTCCGGATCTATCACTATTTCCACCGACATCAGGGTCTGTCATGTTAAATACATCAATATAAACTAATTTGATAAATTATTTAATTAATGACACACTATTTATAAATTCAAATAGAGTTTATGATTAATTGATTTAATTAAATAAAAATAATTTATGCCAAAAATTTAGGTAAAGTTTGCGTTTATAGTGCAGGAAAACTATATCCTCCAGAGGCTGACAGTGAGAGAGTCGCTGACGTATGCATCGAAACTGAAGAACGATCCGGTGTGCGATCACACGGCTATTGTGGCCGACGTTATCAACAAACTAAACATCCAGAGGTGTGCCGACAACCGGCCCGACAGGTGTTCGGGCGGACAATTGAAACGAGTGCTCATTGCTCTGGAACTGGTGTCCAGACCTAACATCTTAATACTGGACGAGCCCACCACTGGCCTCGACTCAGTCACTACATGGCAACTGATTAACACACTCATTGAGCTGACCCAACAGCCGGAACCGGTAGCCGTTGTGCTGACTATACATCAGCCGTCGGCGCGACTCTTCAATCTGTTTGACACAATATATCTGCTCTCAGCCGACGGTCAGTGCATTTACAACGGATCGCCCGAAAGGATGAGGTATACGTTCAGTGAGTGCGGACTTATTTGTCCCACATTTACCAATCCCTCGGACTTTGGTCTGGAAGTGGCGTCCAAAGAGCACGGCGTCGACCGACTCGTCACTCTCGCCCTAATTGTCACCAATGAAGCAAAACAAATGCCCAGAAATAAGTATCGGATTCGTATTGAACGTGATTTTGACACAAAGAGATGTGTCTACTATTTGACCATAAGGTAAATATTTACAAATATTATTTTTGATTAAATGTTTTTATTTTTTTTTTGAACATTTTTGCTTTTAATTTAATCTCTTGTTTTGATCACCCAAACAGATCCTTCCTGTCTATGATTAGGGACCCGTTTATGCTTCCGATGCGGTTCTTTGGCTATATTTTGGTCGCTTTTCTGATCAGTCTATTGTTTGGTAGGGATAGCGGAGTGCTGTCCGGCTGTCCTCAAGAGCTCAACTTCAGAGATAACGGGAATATCATTGAATACATCAGATCCCGATCGGCAGATCTCTTTGAAAACTGCTGCGGACTGGCCTTTATCTGCCTGTTTGGGTGGTTTGGCGGCATATTTCCCGTACTATTGATATTTCCAACTGAGCTCAATGTTTATCTTCAGGTTTTATTACAAAAAAATTATTTTTGTTTTTTAAACAACAATTATTTTTTTAATAGGAATACGGAAACGGATATTATTCTTGTTTCTCATACTTTGCATCCAAAGTGTTAAGTGATATCCCATTCACACTATTGTTACCACACTTGGCTTCAGTCCCCGTATATCTATGGACCGGACAATACATGGCCGACGTGTGGCGTCTTTATAACTTTATCTTTATATTTATGTTAATCACATTCAACTCCACTGCACTCGGCTTTCTCATCGGTGCCTCGCTATCCAACCACCCTGGTGCAATCGCATTTATCGGTATGCTTTCCCTGGTGCCTCTCATACTATTATCAGGTATTTTTAATTATTAAATCATAATTTAAAAAAGTTTTAAAATTATAAACAATTTTGTAAATTAAAATTATATCTTAAGATTAATCACTTATATCTTGTTTTATTGTTTTTAATCAGGAATATTGATAAAACTGAATGCAATGCCGTTTGCTTTCCAAGCGCTATCATATCTGAATTACATTAGGTTTGGTTTGGCAGCCGTTCTCATCAATAGCTACGGCTTTTATCGGTGCGAAGCGGAGGTCGTGTCGGCCAACCATACCATCAACATTATGGCGGAGATTCCGGCCGACAAACTGATGGCCATTTATAGGTCCGACAAAATAGACTCCGCATTGCTATTGAAATCAATGAATTCATTGCTTTCGGGCGACAAAGACGGCGACAAAACATCTATAATTATGGATAACTTTAATTTAGTTAATTTTGATTATTTCATCGCTATATTCATGCTTTTCCTACACATTATAGTGTATCGATTGATCACTTATTATGTGATACTCAAGAAAGTCACGCCAAACACATCCAAATGAATACCTGTATATAATTTAATGTATTTTTAAATTAATGTTTTCATTGATTTTAGCATAAAAGTAATTGTATTATATTTTAATGTGATTTATCAATTGTTTGCATTTAATGCTAAAGTCTTATAAGTCCTTAGAATAACATTCAATAATTTTGGCAACAGTTTTATATTATTTTAATGAGTGCTCAAACACTATAAATATTTCAATAAAATTGATTTTAATATTTAAACGTTTGTTTTGAAAAATTGGTTATAAATCCATTACAGAAATATCGAATATGTTATGAATAAAATTTAAAAAGTGATAAAAATATTTTAATTGTTATAATATTTGAAAATTGCGAAACTAGTGTTCGTTTTAAACACCAAACAATTAAAACCCGATATTTAGGATCGGGTATCAAATAAAATAGACTTTTCATGTGTTAAACCCATTAACTACTTAAAATTATCGAATTTAAAACATAAAATTAAAGACATCTTTAAGAAATTCCATGTTATGAATATAATGAACACTCATTTTGTTCATCAAATTATAAAATGTCCATTAAATCTGTAAAACACATTTTGTAGGCAATGTATACTTTAACCCCAATCGACACGTTTGTCTTTTTCAATTAATATTTGGTTCAAACCGTGAGTTTATATCCGTCTGTATCCCAATAATTTTGGGATTAGGGACCGCTCCTACGGGCACGTGTCACGAGAGGTAACCTCCACACCGACTACAATCAACATTACATCTACAATTCATTGGCGCTATTAGTAAGTGTTATTCCTGTCACAAACGCTGACCAATCCTACGATAGTGTATGCGATGATTGGAAAGTTCCTTGAGTTGACTCAAAGAAAGAGGTTTCAGTATTTTTTTCTATTGTTTTTAGTTGTGTATAAAACCCTAACCTTTAGCCATAACTTGTGTTTATAAGCCCTGATTTATGCGCATAATTTGACTTTTAAAACATTGCACAGGTATAATTATACATATATGTATATTTGTTTTAATGAGTGCACAAACACTATAAATACAGTCAGAACTCTGTGTTATGAATAGATCGGGACTTGTGGTTCATAAAATAGAGGTGTTCACAAGATAGAGGGTAGATTAAATCTATTAAAAATTTATTTATCATTTTAAAATTACATATATCTTTTAAAATTTAAATAAAATGAATTTAAATATATAACCCTTAAAATGCATCGTTAATAAATTCCGTTATGTGTATGGTGGCAGCATTATATATAAGAAAATATTATACCGTGGACAGTGGCAGCTTTTTTAATTAAGCAGCACGCATGTGTAAGTGACTATGTAGCCATGTTGTCGGCTTAAATGTTAGAGCACTAATTAGCACAGATATAGCAGGTAAAACATGTTAATGACTTAGAGAATGAATTAGATTATTGCTATGATATCCGCTGAGATAGAGTGTAGTTTAAATTAAAATGATTATTATCTTCATCTCAATCGATTTCAGAGTAATAAATTGACTGAACCTAAGTTCAATTCAATTCTAGACAAGCAATTTATTTTAACTGTTTTCAGTGTAATTTGAAATAATGTCACTATTATTGTCTTCGAATGCAGTATTATTTTCGTGATTTAGTAAACAATATAAGTAATTATTTGTCGACATTTTATTTATTATCATATTTAATTAAACAATGCAAAAATATGATAGCGCTTTTAGTTGATTGTAAACATTTATACAAATTGTCACACGTATAACAATATAAGGCACAAACACGTGATATGAGATTTAAGGCATAAGAGATTACTAACCAATCACTTCAGGTCACGCCTAGGTGGATTAGTTTAACTCAAGGTATTTTGAAAAATTTTAAGGTTTATTATTTCTTTAAATAAATTATTGTTGCGGACAGATCTGTACCCGTTACGAACCAATCACTTCAGGTCACGGCTAGGTAAATTAGTTCTTTTCAAAGTATTTTGAAAAATCCCCAGCTAAATAATAATTTCTTTAAATAAATTATTGTTGATTGCAAATTTGCTAATATGACCAACCAATCACTTTAGGTCACGGCCAGGTGGATTAGTTTAACTCAAGGTATTTGGAAAAATTTTAAGGTTAATTATTATTTTTTAAAATAAATTATTGTTGCGAACAGATCTGTACCCGTTACGAACCAATCACTTCAGTTTAGGTCACGGCCAGGTGGATTAGTTTAACTCAAGGTATTTGGAAAAATTTTAAGGTTAATTATTATTTTTTAAAATAAATTATTGTTGCGAACAGATCTGTACCCGTTACGAACCAATCACTTCAGGTCACGGCTAGGTGAATTAGTTCGACTCAAGGTATTTTTAAAAATCTTAAGGTAAATAATAATTTCTTTAAATAAATTATTGTTGATTGCAAATTTGCTAATATGACCAACCAATCACTTTAGGTCACGGCCAGGTGGATTAGTTTAACTCAAGGTATTTGGAAAAATTTTAAGGTTAATTATTATTTTTTAAAATAAATTATTGTTGCGAACAGATCTGTACCCGTTACGAACCAATCACTTCAGATCACGGCTAGGTGAATTAGTTCGACTCAAGATATTTTTAAAAATCTTAAGGTAAATAATAATTTCTTTAAATAAATTATTGTTGATTGCAAATTTGCTAATATGACCAACCAATCACTTTAGGTCACGGCCAGGTAGATTAGTTCTCTCCAAGGTATTTTGAAAAATTTTAAGGTTAATTATTATTTCTTCAAATAAATTATTGTTGCGGACAGATCTGTACCCGTTACGAACCAATCACTTCAGGTCACTGCTAGGTAAATTAGTTCTTTTCAAATCAAGGTATTTTGAAAAATTTTAAGGTTAATTATTATTTCTTCAAATAAATTATTGTTGCGGACAGATCTGTACCCGTTACGAACCAATCACTTCAGGTCACTGCTAGGTAAATTAGTTCTTTTCAAAGTATTTTGAAAAATCCCCAGCTAAATAATAATTTATTCAAATAAATTATTGTTGCGGACAGATCTGTACCCGTTACTAACCGATAACTTTAGGTCACGGCTAGGTGGATTAGTTCTCTCCATATTATTTCGAAAATTTTTAAAGTTAATTATTATTTTTTAAAATAAATTATTGTTGCGGACAGATCTGTACTCGTTACTAACCAATTACTTCAGGTCACGGCTAGGTGAATTAGTTCGACTCAAGGTATTTTGAAAAATCTTAAGGTAAATAATAATTTCTTTAAATAAATTATTGTTGATTGCAAATTTGCTAATATGACCAACCAATCACTTTAGGTCACGGCCAGGTGGATTAGTTTAACTCAAGGTATTTTGAAAAATTTTAAGGTTAATTATTATTTCTTCAAATAAATTATTGTTGCGGACAGATCTGTACCCGTTACGAACCAATCACTTCAGGTCACTGCTAGGTAAATTAGTTCTTTTCAAATCAAAGTATTTTGAAAAATCCCCAGCTAAATAATAATTTATTCAAATAAATTATTGTTGCGGACAGATCTGTACCCGTTACTAACCGATAACTTTAGGTCACGGCTAGGTGGATTAGTTCTCTCCATAGTATTTCGAAAATTTTTAAAGTTAATTATTATTTTTTAAAATAAATTATTGTTGCGGACAGATCTGTACCCGTTACGAACCAATCACTTCAGGTCACTGCTAGGTAAATTAGTTCTTTTCAAAGTATTTTGAAACATCCCCAGCTAAATAATAATTTATTCAAATAAATTATTGTTGCGGACAGATCTGTACTCGTTACTAACCAATTACTTCAGGTCACGGCTAGGTGAATTAGTTCGACTCAAGGTATTTTTAAAAATCTTAAGGTAAATAATAATTTCTTTAAATAAATTATTGTTGATTGCAAATTTGCTAATATGACCAACCAATCACTTTAGGTCAGTTATAGCTGACATGATTGTAATTAGATGTATTTGGAAAAACTTCAAGATTAACAATGATAGTTTTGTATAAATAGTTGTTGCCTACATGATTGTCCATGATACAACCCGATCACTTCAGGTCACGGCCAAATGGATTAGTTCTCTCCAAGGTATTTTGATAAATTTTAAAATTAATTATTATTTCTTGAATTGAATTCAATTGTTATATATGATGTTATGTATGCCGTACTTTAAACACAGCAAATCGATTTACTGTGTATACCTTGTAATCAACACTAATTACAATTATCAGTACTATCATCTCATCATAACCATGTTATTTAGTATTTGTAATTCACATTCAACATAAAATATTATATTTTTATTTAACTGTTATTTTTAACCACAAAATCACGAATGAAATTTCAGTGTTGACGCAAAAATAGTCAATACATTTTGTTGATAGCATTCATAGACGTGTTGATGGTTTGAAGCATTGATCATACAAAACAACACGAGTTGTAATGCAAACAAAGCATTCAAAAGCTTTATAAATGCCATATTAATGCCTATACACTAACGACATCTACAATACATCCAGTGTATCAAAATGTTTGGTTAAAATAAAGACAAATTTTAGAAATTTGTTAATTTTAAGACAATTTTTAAGGATAAACAAAACTGTTTGTTAATCTGATGTCATACCATATTAACAGTGTGTGGGTAAATACTTTTGGTTCATTTCCATGGGATTATAATCTTTTCCAACTTCTAATTTTAAGACAGGAAATCTAATAATAATATTATATAATATCTTATATAAAGTATGTATGATACTTTATAAAAGTAAAATTTTATAATTATCAACTTTTTATATAATGTATAAATTATATAATTATTTGAATACTGAAGTAGTATGATTTATAACATAACTAGTAAAGTATACGTTCAATATACTTAAACGATACCTACGATAACATACATACTGTAAATAATACTTTTCAAAATACTTTTTATACAGTGCAACCTCTCTTGGGGGAACTTCTCTTGGGGGAACACCTCCTCATAAGGAACGGATTTGAGATCTATGTTGGATTTCCTATACTTATAATTTTAACATAACCTATCTTAGGGGAACTTCTCGGTAAGGAATACCTTCCCATTAGGAACGGATTTATAGAGATTAAGATAAAACCTGCCCTCCCCATAAGGAACAAAGATAATCATAAGCACATGATATGTAAAGTATTTAAAATATTCTCAAACCTTATCAAAGACTTTAAATAAACAAATAACACATTTTCATTTGAAATTTCATTCATAAACATTAAATTCGTAGTTTGATTAGTGAATTATTATACTCAAATGTCCTATTTTATATCTAGAGACGCATTTGATGATTAAATGTTTGAACAATTAGACAAAATTAAGACTAAATTATTTAAGTGTCATTATAATATAGCTAAACAAACAAAAATTACTTTTAGATTATTTTTAATAATTAATATTATTACTTATAGACCTTTATTACCAATCCATTTGATAACAACTATTTCAAAATAATATTGTAAAAAATAGCATTAACTGTATTAAAGCTTGATATCATGTGACTACACGTATTGACTGGTATTGTCTCACAGGTGGAGTGCATATTGACTTATAGTTGGTATTAAATGGATTGGTAATAAAGGTCTATAAGTTAATAAACATTTTCAAATATTAATCAAAATAAGACATTTTTAGTCAAACCTCCCTTGAAGGAACCCTCCCTATAAGGAACGCTTTTGCCGTCCAACTGGCCGTTCCTTATAGAGAAGTTTCACTGTATAATTTTATATAATTAATGATGGTGTTTTTGTTTAATATTATATCAAATATATTCAAGTGTATATTGATTAACGGAAAGTTTTATCTATATTTTCAAATATAAATCACAAAAGACATTTAAATAGCAATTAAAAATATAAATTAAGGGTATATAAAGAGCCATACATTATGAGCCTTTACATTATGAGCCATACACTTTATAATGCATATAATACAGTCTGCCCCCGGTTTTGATATGTCATCGGTGCTGTAAAAAATATATGTCAAAGTCGCAATCTGTTAAAATCGAGTACATTAACAGTACTAATATGACTAAGCGGTGCTAGCAAAAACAGATGTTAAAATCGCGAATGTCAAAACCGAGGGCAGACTGTATTATGCAAAATATATGCTTTAAGCAAATTGCTTATTTAATTTGTTGTAGATTGCAAGTGCTATTCAAAACACTAACATTTTTAAAATAAAATTATTTTAGTATTAACTGAGTTAATAAAGTAATAATGGCACCAAGTAATAATGAAACGAGCGTAAAAGTAACAAGGTTGATCGCGGCCAAGAAAAAATACGAAGGTTTCATTGATAGCAATATCGACACAAAGACACCGATCGCTAGACTCGAGAGGTTTTGCTTAAACTATTTGATACTTGTGTCCGGTTTTGACGACTATCTGAACGGTGTGTTTACGTGGAGACGACGGCTGTTAGTACTCGCGGGTCGAGTCATCCTATTTATGGTGAGTCTGAAGTATATGATCACAACCATAGCTCACACACAGGGTGTGAAGGCTATGTTGTCGGACGCGACTTACAATTTGGGAAATCCGCTGATATTTTCAATGTTAATATGTGACAAGTCGTTTGTAATCGGATTGATCGGGCTCATTGTTCAGATATACGAGTTTAACCATAATTAATACCTTATAGATTTTTTCAATAATATTAAACATAAACGAATGGCACTCTCATTAAATGAGGCAAATAATAAGCGTCTTATGATTAAAGCAAATTTGTTGACCATTTTATGAATCAAGGGTTTTGGCCAATGGTTGTATTGACTGAGAATGTGTTTATTGTGGCATCAATTCAGGCTTATTTGACACCTGATTCTGGTTTCACTTTATATGGTATCTGTTTTTGGTTTATTATGGATACTCTGATATTCATCGAGAAGTATGCGCTGGCATTCTTCGGGGTTATCCTATTCCTGATGACAAACACTTATATTAAGTATAATTATAATTAGATTAATACCAAAATATGTTTAGCAGTAAAATATAGTAAATTTTCTGCGCTTATGGATGCGATCGGCGAACACAATGCGATCACTAAAATAACGGTAAATTTAAATCACTTTTATAAGTTTGTCTTGTTCAATTTTTATTATATAACTACACCGGCATTTGAGTTTCTATTGTACTTAACGTTTACACCGGACACTGACCCTGTTATCGCTGTCGTGGCCGGCACTATATTTACTGTGCTATTTTCCATAGTGTTTTTCATCACATACATGTGCACATGGGTTACCAAATCGGTCAACAATTCACGGCCTATACTGTACTCGGCTTTGAAACACAAGTCTATACCAATTGACCAGCGATTGAAAATGCATGCATTCATTGAGAGACTCTCTGCCCGTGAAATCGGTTTCTATTGTTATGATATGTTTATTATGAATAACTATGAATTTATTGAATATTTATTAAGTTTTATTGCCACTCATTTCTTAATACTTTTATTGGTATTAATTATGTTTTTAATTTTATTAAAGAATTCATATATATTGTAATTTTTTTTATAGATTGGTAAAACGAAATCATAAATTAATGTAAAGAAATCTATAAATATTGGCTTTAAAACAATTGCACCGCTATAAGGGTCGGGTCCGCCACTGCCTATGCCTTAAACAAGTCTTTATTAATTTCCGCTCCGCCCCACCATCGGTCAAAACCCCGGCCCACCTGTGCTTTTGAACGGTCGGCACAGAGCAACAAGAATGTGGTAACCATTCGCTCCGGTAATACTTTGTTTACCTGCACTACTCCTTCTTCTTCGGCAAAATTGTCTCGTTGTTTCTGTAAATAAAGTTAGTTATTTCCCATTTTTGAAAAATATATTCCCGGAAAATTCTTTATATTCCTTACAATTGGGAAAATAACGGTAAGCAAAAACCCTATGCTGGAGATTAACTGACCGTCCCTTTATTTATATTCATCAATTGGTCATCGTTTGACCACATTTTTGTCTTATTTTCCCAATTTTAAAGAATATAAAGAATTTTCCGGGAATATATTTTCCAAAAATGGGAAATAAAGAACAATACATACAATTTCAAGTCCCTGCATAAATTCCCTGATCCGAACCCCGCCAGCAGTTTGTCCCATATTAGCTATACTTAGGGCGAACTTTTTGGTTTCACCCTCATTGAACACACGCAATATGGGTGGAGGTGTGGGCTGAGGGGTGGGCTGAGCCGCCACTACCATTACTACAGCGATACCCAACACAACACAAATCACCACAAATATCGCCAAAACGATGAACAGATATTTCGACTCATTCTCGGAGTGTATGGCTTGCGGTGCGGCGGATGTGACCGACAATTGAACGGCGCCGCTGCCGACGGGCGCTGCGGTTACGCCACTGATAGTCGTATCGTTTCCCACACCACTACCGGTGATGACATCCGTGCCATTACTCGGAGCACCAGTACTGTTGACGGCGCATCCCATGTGTCCGATCCATACCATAATCACTGTCAGTACGAGTGTTGCAGACATTTGTGTTGGCTTTCCGTTCATAACTCAATGGATTCAATGTTTGTTCAGAAGTTTGATGAGACAATTGTTTTATTTGTGGTGAAATTTGAGATAACTTTGTATTAAAAGTGATACAAAGAAGTATTGTTTAGTTTTTTGATCAGATTTTGTGCACAAAATTAACGATATTTTTTCAATTGAAAGTAAATTTGAATACGAAATGTATAGCGAAGTGATATCTCGTGTTTTGTTATACAATAATGTTTGCTATTTTGTACTGATTTTTGCTGTAAATCATTGATAAAACAGTTATTTTGTTCAAAATTAACGGCTGTTATAATTGACACTACATTTAAACACTAAATGATATCTAAATGAAATATTGTTTGGGCTATTGTTGGTGTGTTGTGTTGCAAAGTATTGTTAACAAAAGTATTGATTAGTTTATATTTATTAGTTAGTTATTTACTTCTTATATTTTAATTTATAAATTTTGGTAAAACCATGTATAAAGTGTGAATTAATTGATTAAAATATTAATGGCAATCATTTATTGGTTATAAAAATGTATCTAGTAATTTTCAAACTTATTTTACACAAAACTTTAATGTTAGAAAATAAGTTGATTATAGTTGTAATCGTTTTATTCTATACTTTGTTAATCCCATTGAAATACACGACAATTATTCAGCGGATTAAGTTTCAAAAATTAATTATTAACATCTCGTTCAGTATAATGTAAAGTTTGAATTTAACATTAAGTTTTCAAACACATACCAAATTAATGTAAATGTTTTCCTATGGAAAATGCCTTAATTTAAGACAACAAATTCCTATTGAAATCTTGTCATCAATTTTTTATATTTCAATATAAAATTGTTTTACTGTATTATATTTGCTATTCATTGAGAGTAAAGCATGTGTTCATTGCAATCAATAATTCAATTAATTTCATCAATAATTTCAATGACTTTTTCGGTATTGAATAGCATTTTGGGCTATAAATGGGTGGACACGTCGACCACCGGCGCGACCATAAACTGTCTGCCAAATGAGATACTAATGAAAATTTGCCACAAATTGGACTTTCAATCAAAACTGAGGGCACAGTTAGTGTGCAAACGATGGCATCGACTCATTGAACACACATTTGCGGTCAAAACAAGTCTATTGATTGAAGACACCGAAAGTCGACTACACGGCCGACGTTACGGCGATTACAAGCCCTACGGTCTGGACATAAACGGCGGCCACCAGTCAATCGTCTCATTGAGTCCATTCCTGGCCACCAATACAATCACACGATCTGATTTTCAACGCCTACTGACCATGGTGGTGGCAAAGTTTCCCAATTTAAACACACTGTACGTGTGTCTCATGAAATGTCATATCAATCGGCGACTCTTGCGGACAGTGACCGCCAGCTGTGACCGAGATCTGCGACAGTTGTCAATCGTTTGCTGCGATAAGAAGATCACTGTCACCGAACAGGAAGTGCTTGCGATGGCCGTAAAGTATCCCAATCTTCGTGTCTTTCAATTCGAGTCATTCTATGTGTTGATCAAAGAGAAGACAATCAAAGAGTTGCTGAAGAATTTGCCAAAACTCGAGGTCTTTATTTTGATGAGCCTTTTGTCTAATAGTGAACAACATATAGACGTCGAGACATACAAAGGAAAAGTGTTTAAATACATGAATAGCGGTATTCAAGTAATCAAAACCCCGGGCTATCTGTTCAACGATAACGCCATACAGTGTTTGGCTCACAAACAGCCCAATCATATGAAAACGCTGCGAGTGTTTGACATAATGGCGCTGAAGTCCATGTCTTTGATCGCCGATCGCTTCCAATCGCTTCGATGTCTGTATTGTTCGTCATTCTCGCCAAATGTCACTTTGGATCAAATGCGGCGCTTCTTCGGCGACATCTCCCGCTTGGATCAGTTGGAAAAACTACATCTCCTCATAGATCACGATCAGCCCATCATTGGTTACCCGGAGATCAAACCGCTGATAGCGTGTCTGAAGTTGCGATCGCTTCGCATAGAGTCTACGGCACTGACCGTCGACTGTGTCGAAGGGATCGTCCGATTTGTACCACAACTCCAGAAACTAGAGTTAACTTATGTTAGATTTCCGGCCGCACCGGCGCTCTGTATGGCACCCATCGAGACATTAAAGCGATTGTCGTATCTGAAAGTGTCCACAACTCCTGAGTTGAGCGATGATCTGCTGATAAAACTTGTTAAGAGTTGTTCACAACTCACTCGCGTGGATGTCTCGCGTTGCGAAGACATCACCATTGGATCCATTGCGGCGTTCGTTCAGTTGGCCACCCAATGGCCTAACAATAGCTATAGTTTTTTGTTTAATAGTCATCTCAAACAGGGATTCATTCAATTGTTTCCGGAAATACCGTATAATTTGAATATCAATTTTCTTCACATCAGAAATCTTTACTAAAATGTTTACCGATTTTATTAATAAGTGTTTAAATTTATCAATGATTTGTAATAATTGTTTATTCTATTAATTGTTTACTAATTTGAATCATATTTTAAAAGTTTGTTGATTTTTATTACATTTTAAAATAAATAATTATTTGAAGTTTTAATTAAAGTCCAAAACAAAATGATAATATGAAATGATTTACAAATACAAATAGTCTTACAGTTTGTGTTGTCTCTACTCATAGAATATTTGAATTAAAGTATATTTGTGTAAATATTGTGAATCCGACACAAAGTGTGGCGCAATATATGATATATTTATCACACATTTTGTTATATAATATTTAAGACGAGAATCCATTGTCGGCCATAACTTACCATTTCTTGTGTTGTCATTGAATGCAAAAATGTATTCAAAATATTTATTCATTGATATAATTGTGTGTATTTTAATCAGTCAAATATATACGAGTGATGTATCAGGTATTCAACATAATTACTTTATTTATTCCTCAATTAATACTAAATTCCTATTAAAATTAGTGCCAAAATTAAGACCTGTATTGAAACAAATCACCCAAAATGAGGGCTCAGTATTTCAGATGTTTTGCTCAATACAAGAGGGATCTAATCCACTATTCTTCGAGTGGACACGAAATGGACACCAAATTAAGTCCAGTCCTGACGTCAACTATAAGATAGAGA